TTCTTCTTTTTGGTTGTCACGTATTCAAAAACAGCGTGACTTGTAAATTGTCAAGCAAATAGTCACGCAAAGGTGCGATCAGTCAGGCTGGGATACTTAAGTGTAACAGCAGTTCAAACGACGACAAAGCAACGATAACAACAGAAACAAAAGTGATAGCAATATAACACTCTGATGACTCAATATTTCACTGGCTGCTTGGCTCTGCTAGCCCCTATGGTTACTCCAGACAGCCAGTACTCTATTTATTTTCAATATTGTTATTTAACTTAACACAGGCAAGGGAGTACAAATACAGATTGTTGTTGTTGTTGTTGTTGTTGTTGTTGTCAATATTGTGTTTTTATCATTTAGCGGAAGTGTGACCAGTACTGGCCTGAACGTGGAACAAGAAAGTACGGTTCAGTTCAAGTGACTTTAAAAGAAACACTTAACATGTCTCACTACACTGTAAGGAAATTGGTGATCTCTCATAAACTGGTAAGATGCCATTTTTGTGATAATTAACAAATGGTTAACATCACAGCGTACACTATTGAGTTATGGAGGCACGCGGGAGGTCGCTAAGTACGAAAGAAGCCTAAGAGTCGCGCGAAGCGAGAGCCGAGAGCGACTCTAGCTTCTTGAGTGCTTAGCAAACCTCCCAAGTGCATCCATAACTGAATAGTGTACACTGTGGCGTTTACCATTTGTTTTATAACATAACATTGCTACATTGTAGCAAAAGAGTTTTTTTATTCAACAAATCTTACGTGATCAGAAAAGACAAGCGCGCGCGGAAAACTAGTCTTTGCATTTGTCCACGTCAGCAGTGTACAGCCATGGGCAAATGGTGGACGCTGAATTGACCAATCAGAGCGCGCGCTTTACTTTGGTCATGTTATAATAATCCGTTTTAACTCATTAACTAAACTTTCCAGGAAACATACTAGAATAAAGCAAACGTAACATTGTGAGGGGTTGTATCTCAGCATAAAAACAAATTCTTATTATTAAGTTACAACTAGCGATGAATACATATAAAGGGAATATTTGAAAATCAGATGTTTAGATTGTGGAATAAAGATTTTGATGGAGGAAAGATCATTGCAGTTTCATAGACAAATTACCAGTAGTAACAATATTCTGATGAGATAATATCCTGATAATTTTTTGTTTTTCCTCTGTCCAGTTTCCCGAAGACGAGCGTGAAGTGAAACAGTTCCATTTTACTGCATGGCCTGACCACGGTGTACCTTCCCACCCCACCCCACTGCTCTCTTTGGTGCGTCACGCTTACGTCAGTAATCGCGAGTCTGTTGGTCCCATGGTAGTACATTGCAGGTAATGGTTACTCAGAAGCACGCAGATTTTTTCGCGCGAGGTGTCCTTTTGAATTGGCGATTTTGGTGTGTTTTTAGGGAGGGGGGGGGAATGATTGCCTTTGAAGGTGACTTAAAGTTTTGAAGGGGACGAATTTGTTGTATTTTATGTTTGAAAAGCTGAACTTAAACAAGAAAGAAAACGTAATATTCTCCATTTTTATGAAATTTCACAGTTTAGCCGACTGCATTTCATTGTGCTATCCGCTAAATTCAAAATTTTGTATAAATTGGAAGTCCCTCTATTTAAGCCCACAGATATAAATATCTCCTCTTTTTCCCTCTCGGATGTATGGCACACGCCCGGTTAAATTTTCCAAGTTACTCAATTGTAATCTGTGTTTATTTTCGTGAGCTGCAACCATTCCCACTTCTTTTTTATTTTATTCCAACCCCTTTAGTCTTTCTATAATAGTCCATTCTACAGTTGCGTGCTCGGTTGCTAAGCCTTTGAACAGGAGTGAGGCTAAGGGTAACCTTGTCATGATACAAGCGTTGCTGCTTTTCAAATGTAAATTACTTCGTTATCATCCCAATCAGAAACTGGTCTCTACCACAACAAGGTCACCTTTAACCTCACTCCAAATAAAAGGCTTGGCAGCTAAGTACACAACTGTAAAATGGCCTATTGAGCAAAATAATGATTTGAGGTTTCCTCCTATTTAAAGGCTTTTGTCCTGTACTTCAAGAAGAGACAGAAATATAAATGTTCTATTCTAAAAGTACAGGTACGTAGCCTTGAGCAATCTCCTTTTTGTTTTACCCTGACAGTGCTGGTGTTGGTCGCACAGGAACTTTTATTACCCTGGATGTCATGCTGCAGAGAATCAGCCAGGAAGATAGCATTGACGTGTTTGGTTTTGTCCGTCAGATGAGGTTTCAGAGGAACTTCATGGTGCAAACTGAGGTAAGGGCAATCCACCTTTAAAATTTTTGTTGTTGTTTGTGAAAATATTGAAGGGCCGCAGCCAGGATGAAACATAGTTGAAATTTAAAAACGATCTCTG